ATATATATATATATATATATATATATATATAAACACGAATTATTATCAGTTGAAATATTTTTCCCAAGACGTGTCCGTTAAATAGTTTAGCTTCCAGCAGGCAATTTATAAACCCTTGTAGAGTGTCACACTAACTCATTTCGGAAGTCTAAACAAAAACATTTGTCAAGCCTCTATGTTTACACGAAGTCGCCCAGCATTCACAGACAATGGAACGTGGATGGAAAGTGTACCGCCGCCCAGTACTCCATCCTTCCATTAGTTAGTAAACGGACACAGCTGCTGAATCGGTCAGTCGCTTTTGCAGCAAGCGTGATTCGCAATCAGTGAAACACAACACGCTGTTCGCCGTTCAAATGTACCAGAATATTCAAGGCTTTTTCTACACCAATGACAAAAGTAGTGTACTGATTGATCTTGACGTCGCCTCATTCCACGCCCAAAAAATTCAATAAATATAGCGTTCTCCCCAGAGTTCTTTCCAGCGGTTGATTTCTCTCATCAAGTTGTGTGTCGAAGAGGATTTTAATGGGAAAAGTAATCCGTAGGAAAGCACGACACATTATTTTAACATGAAACTTCAACCAGTTCCTGTGCATCCACGGCCTTCTGTTTCTAGGTATAAAAGTCTGGATGAACTAGACTGTCACTAGTCGCACTGTCAAAAAATCGTACCAAAATGCGCGTACTCCTTAGTGCTGATCGTCGCGCATGGACAGGAGCAGTGGGCGAGTTTCACGAAGCAATGTATCCTGAAATATGAAATATCACCTGTCAAAAGGAATATGTGAAGTACACCTTGGATTTTTATAATACACACCATCCAAAGAGAACAATATCTGGCCCAGAAATGCCACTGGTTTTTCGAGTTCCAGTCAACTATCCATACAATGCGGCTAGGCCTGGACCGTCTGTCTAGGGAGACTCGAAACTTGTACGACTTCAGATGTTCTCCGTATGTACCTTTTCTGCTGCGGTTGAGTCACGCTTGCCGTAAACTGGCGCAGGGAACCGGTAATTGCCGCAAAAATATTAGGAATGCGAAGATACTTGGTGGGTGTAAAAGCTATGGTATCAGTGGTCAATGTCTCAATGAATCATGTCAGCATTCACATTCCTTTTAGGTGACCTGGCTTGCGGCCTCAGCCTCAACTCTGGCCGCACGCTGCTCCAACTCGAAACCCGTATAGTAGCTTAGTTTAGTTTTAATACGTAAAATTGGCCAAACTAGCTGAATTCCGTCCGTCTTGTTATGATGCTTCTTCTTGGTCTCGTGGAATAAAAACGAAAGTAATCATCACTCAGCTGTAACACTTTCGGTGCCTAGCAGCCACACCATTCGCAGGAGGGACAGTCAGATTGCTAAACCTAGAAAGCAGTAGTCCAGATCCTGAGGTTGTGGTTGAACAACCGTCCTCCTGATCAGCAAGTTCGCGGCTCTGTCCGCTTAGCCATCCCGTGCTCTCGTGAAACCAGTAAGAGTAACTTAGCTTGTGAAAATTACCACAATCTGGACCAAGATATTCGGTACAAGCGAATCAAGTAGTCAACTGTGGTGAGCATGGATCAAACTGAATGATCGTCTTCACGTCGGTCTGCCAGTCACCTAGTACAGGAAACTGAAGCACGTGCTAGATTTCCAAAGGCCATATGTAAAGGTCTTTTTGGTAACCTCAAGCAAGGATGTACAGGGATGGTCCGAAGCCGCTTAAAGTCATCAATAATCTGTTCCATACGTGTTTAGTTATGTAAGATCCATGGGTGTATTCTGACAATTGTGTTAGTGTTGGCAACGTCACGGCCTACAAGGATGGTGTAGTTTTCCCACCTGTAAATGTGTAGGCGAAATTAATGATGCCCAAACGATTCAAACCTATGGATTCGCACGTGACGGTAGCAAGCAACATCATAATCCGAGCATATCAACAGAAAAGCGGACTACCTGAGCGAATACGTTTCATGAGAACATGAAATGAACTCCATTGTTACACCAAGTGATTTTGGCACGGACCAACCTCTCGGCCCAAGATGTGAGCATATCATGGAGCAGAAAAATGTCCGAAGAAACCTTCGCCTTCTTGAATTGCAATGCTATCGCCAAGAACTGAAGCGCCTTGCGAGTCAGAAAGTTAGTTGCACTTTGTGAAGCTTCGACAAACTTCCTAAATAAGCAAAATTTTTAAGGTATACTTAAGGTCAGCATTTTCACAGAGTTAGCACGAGTGGTAATCAATATCCCCATTATCATCAAATGATAACCTATTAAAAATATGGTGTTGTCATCAACTCATGTAGATCTCCAAGCGATCATTTTCACGCTGCTCTCACATTAGAATGGATGTGATTCTCCTCATTCAGGGCACCAGGATAGCCATTCTGTGAAGATAAAAAAGCGCGTGGCGTACCGAGAAGTGTTAGCTACCGGTTATGTAGCCCTAAAACTAAACAACGTTCAAGTAAAAAATGAAGACCTACTACAGGGAATCTCAATAGTTAAGCAGTGTGTTAAGGGCCAGGCTGGGTGATCCTGGGTTCATCATTATGGCGAAAAGAAAAGACTGGAGCTTTTATATTCCAGCCAGGCCGCTTATCTTTCCGTAATAAACTCCACCAAAAGCCTCACAAATACCCTCAGTGCTTCTGAATACTCTTCCCATGGTCATTATACTAATGTATCGTCTCAAGAAAGCCTATGAATAAATTGGAATTTCTCACTGGGTGTGGAAATTTCAGTGACGCAAGATGCTGCCTCAAAAACAACTAAACTGCTTTCAGTTCCATTCATTATCACTTAAAACATGCATCCAGCTTGCAAATGAAACCTCACTTTGCCTAATAATGATGGGAAACATTTGATCCTTTCGTACAGCCAGTAGTTTCTGCTTGATGTGACAAATTCGAGAGTACAAATTGGAGGACAAAAACTCCAGTGCGCTTTTCGCGTCCATGTTGAACAGGTCGTTTTGATGTAAGTAAATGATTTCCAAAATCCAGCTCCCGCAACTAAATAACCCAAAGGATGAAGCGACCTCAAACCTAATTAGTTGTAAATTCTCGTGCTGAGATTTGACAACTGCTGATAATTTCTTCTTCGAATAACAATTTTCCCCGGGTCAATTTCTGATTAATTTTAGCCACCTCAGTACTATTTGTACTGGAAACCACGTTATGCAGATGGAGGATACCAACCCAGCTGGACAAGAGGTACGTTCGGAAAAGTATCGCTATGTTGATATATTCAGTGTATGATTTTCTAAAAGACAGGAGGACGCGCGCTTGTCAGTGCACTGGGTGTTGTCGGAACAGACGCTGTTGTCCCCATATCCCCACTTTACCTATCGTCGGCAAGCAAAAAAGAGCATAAGGAAAGAGACTGCCTACCTCCTGTTATCATTATTGCAAAGAGCTGCACTGTGGTTTTGTTTTTCATATAAGCCCGTCACAATGAACGAGATTTCCTTTTCATCAACCTCATATAACCACGCAATTAAAGCTGTGACCAGTGCCAATACGCTTTCACAATGTTGGTTTTTG